ATGTTACAGGGAGATAAACATCCGTTCCTAGCTCTTTTGCCAAACTGCCTGTGAGATGTAAACAAAGTTGGTGTGTGTTTGAGTTGTAGCTGTGTGAATTCATCTCCACAGGAAAGAACGCTCATTTAGGATCTCTTGAAACAAGAAACACCTGTTAGAAAATCAGTGCATGCAGAGAAAATAGCATCCAAATATGCACATGCTGATGAGGCATCATACATGCTTACTTCAAAAGATTGGGTCGACTGCCTGGGTTGGAAGAAATCTTTGCAAACTGGCCAGAATTCACACTCTGCCTGATGCCCTGGAATGTGGACCTGGAGGAGTTCCAGGAGCAGGACAGCCTGTTTGGAATACGTGGTATCGTCCTGCCTCTGCACTGCCTTCATCTTCAGAGCTAATGCAGAGAAGAGTGTTGGTATTAAAAAGCATTCTGTTGATGCAGCCTTCTTGTGCTGAGAAGTATAGCTGCTCTAGGAAAGGAAAAGGCGTCTTTGGTTTATGCTGTGCTTAGAAAATACTCTTCTGCTTAAAGCAGAGTCCATCTTCTTGCAGTTGCTGCAATACAGCAGGGTGATAGTCATCCATCTTTTGTTCAAGTGCTGATGTATTCTGGGAAGTGATCTGCTAAATTTGACTTTTAAATAAAATACACTAGTAAACTGCAAAAAACAACCAAGATTTTATGAACCAACAGCTTGTCCAGGTGATCACTTAAATCACTATGAAACACTTTGTCTTTGACTATGGCAAAACTGTTCCTGAGGGAAGCAGGCTTACCCTGTGGATGATTGGGTGTCGAGGGCTTTATGACAGAGGTGTAGTGTGCATAGAGGTGGGCTGGAGAAGGCAGCATGGCTTTTTAGCCTTCTGTGTGGTCTTACCTGCTCTTCATGGGCTGTTGAAGATGCTCACTTGTTCTTTCTGTAGCCAAAGACACTTTTACTCTCCCCAGTTTTGATCCAGTGCTCCCTTTTCCAGATTTGATGGCCGAGTCGTGGCAAAGCTTCCGTTTATCCCCCTCTCATACATCCAGGGTCTCTCCCACCGCAACCTTCTGGGTGAGGATTACACTGACTGCTCCTTCATCTTCCTCTACATTCTCTGCACGATGTCAATCAGACAGGTGAGTACATTGCTGTGTCTCTTGCATGCCTGGAGCAGGGAAAGCACGTCTTCCTCCATAAAGCGGAGTCTGTTACTGCTGTCTAGTTTTGCATGTATAGTCTTTGGTCTGTTTGTGGTTTCTGTGTTTGCCTTCATTCCTATGCTTCATATTCAAAGCAGTTCTAGGTTGGGATCATAAAAAAAGCCACTATCCTGGACTGGTGTGGAAGACTTGATTGGAGACTTGCACCAGGGCACTAGGACAGAGCTGGCAGAAATGGTTCCTTCCTTGTGTGCGTGTGTGTCTGATAACTTTGTGGATTGCCATACCAAGAGATTGTCTCCATCAGAAGCCAATCTTAAGTACTACTTCTTAATAATTATTACTTTTGCAGTAATATGAGAAGTGTAGTGTCTTCAGGGGAGACTTCCTTGGTGGCTTGAGGTTCTATAAAGTTTCAATCAGTCCATAAATTTGCTAGAAAAGTGAGGAAAGAGTTAAACCTGTTCTTTTGGGTTTGTCCTTCCTGTTTTTGCTGACCGATATTTTTTTTTTCCAGAGTCTTAAGGACTTTACCTTTGGTGTCAAGTCTCCCCTAGTATTATGGATGTGACACAGAAAGGGGGTCTGAGTATGATAAGCCAAGAGTAGGCTACATATAGCTCCCCAGCAAAGCTGGTTAGTCCTATCTTTTGAAAAGGGAAGCAGCAGTGAGGATAAGGGAAGTGCCTGTTCAGGAAGGTTCGCTAGCAGCTTAAGTGGCAGAATGGTTGGTAAGGACAAGTGGGCCTTCTCAGTGCAACCAGAAGTCTAATTTGTTTGCCAGATTTCCCCAGAGAGTGCTGGGGATGAGTTAATATAGACTCTGGGGCCTGGATGAATGCTGGTGCAACTAGCTGCGAATTATCTGCTCTTCTGTCTTTGTTTCCTTTTTCTTTGATTCACTTCCTGAATTCTTGCTGCTTTTCTCCTTGACAGACTCTGTTGCTTTTCCTCAGGTGGTGCCAAGGGACTTTGACTTAAAGCAGATCAGCAAAGGGAAGTGGCGTGTTATGCCAACTGCTGTCAGAAGTTTGGATGAGCTTGATGGAGCAGCTTAATAATAGAGAGTTCCTTTGGAGTCACAAAGTGCATGCTGGTGAATCGAATTCTCCATAGACCTCTGTATTGGGTGCTTGTGTTGAAATGGATCTGTGTCTGGTCCTAGGTGAAAGCAGTTAATGAATTGTAGAACAATTTATGTTGAAAGCACCACCTGGAGATCATCTGGCCCACCCCTCACTCCAAGCAGGGCCAGCTTCAGAGTACCAAAGGCCAGGGGCTTCCTCATTATCTTCTGCAAGCCAAATCTTGTTTCGCTTCCCAGTGACTGGGAGCGGTGCTTGCTGCTTTGAAAGAAATGAGACCTTTTTTGGTTTTAGGATTAGCTTCCTGAATTCCTGGAATTCTGTGGTTTGATGCTGTTCCTTCAGGGGGTCTTGTCTGGTACTGCTCTGTGTTACCTGTTACATGAAAAGCCCCTTCTTTCCAATGTTGCAGATTATTATATGGAACGAGGTAGCACTGTCAGCAAGATTTTTCTGCACCCATTGGCTTGATCGGGGAACTCCCTTGCTGAAAAATCCCCCATGAATTTTTTTTGTCCAAAAATATAATTCCTGTGGTTAGTTCTAGTCCTGGGCATTTCCTGGTGTTTCCTATTGTGAAATCAGTAGATGGCATGAACTGAGTGGTCGTCTGGTCTGGTTCTGGGCAGAAATGTGGAGTTGTTTACAGTGGGTTGGGCTTTCAAGAGAAATTCCAGGAAAAAAAATTGACATTATGCTTGAGAGTTCATGCTGATGGCCCTATGGAGGACAGAAGTTACTTTATTGCTTTGGAGAAGGGTGTTTTTTGCTCTGAAGTATTAGATTACAGTCTTCACAGTGCTGTCTTACCTACGTGGTCTTGGTTAACTACATCTGCTGTTGTCCAGCTGTTAGACAGCTCAGTTTCTTCCTCCTTGTTACATGGAGGGAAGGACAGAGACCAGACACTGTGCAGAAGCTAGGAACTGAAGCTGTGATTGCTGGCATCCTGCTCTTGGTTTCATTACTTAATATTTGAAGGAGCTTGGGTGATAACAGCATTGGGAAGAGGACTTTGAAGGGCTGTGAGAGGTTGGGGGGAGGGGAGGGAAGTAATTAAGGGCTTAAAATGGTGCCAAAGACTTGCTTTTGGTGCTTTCAATGACCTTGTAGGTGAAAGCTTTGTGACCTTTTGTGTTTCGCTGTGTGCAAAAGGTGAAATCTCTCCAAGTCAGCTTCAAAACAGCGGTTAGCCCAAGGGAGGAGAACTGACGTGGGAGTTAGTGTCTATCTTGATGCTGCTGACACAACAGAAGTGGAGGTATACCAAAAGTCAGGGAACAGGTTGCAAACAAACTGAGGAGACCATACATCCCTCGGCCTTCCATTAAATCCTGAAGCTGCCTGTGAAGGGGTCAGAGGCAGGGAAGAGAGATGTCCCTGTGGAGCTCAGAAGTAGAGGAACTCTTGTGTGTGTGGAAAAAAACAGAGACCTGGAGAGAAATGCAGGGCAGTATGTGGGGGTGGGGAGACTTAACTGGACAGTGAGTAAACTGACATTAGTGGGATGGGCAGTAGCAGCATCAGGCAGTCTCTTCATGTGGTCCTCAGGCATGTGGGGGTGATAAACTCTTCAAACACTGACTGGGAAGCTTGCTGCCTGTGACCTGGCCAACATCTCCCAAAATAGTCAACTCGCAGTGAGTAACTTCCTTTGCACTGTTCCCAGCTCTCCTTGGCACGTAAATCCTGTCCCCTAGTTCCTCCTGCCTTCCTGTTTGGAGAGAGGAGGGTTGCTGGGAGAGGCCTTCCAAGGGTCCTTGAGCTGTTGGGTTTCAGCTGGGAAAGTCTGCTGCTGGGCTGGGCGGGAGACATAATGTCAGGGTTACATCCTCTGTTCCTGCTCCTGTTTCTGAGCTCCCAGCCTTCACCTGTGCTGTTTGTGAAGAGGAGTATGCTACTGTTCCTCAGGCGTTTGCTGGTCTTCACTTCCTTTTCACACGTGCTTGAACTGTAGATTAGGCTGTTTCTCTCTGAAACTTGTTCCCAGTGGGGAGGGGAGCCAGCAATTATCCCTACTGCCAGGAGTGCACTTTCCCACACGGCCTGATCTTGGGGCAGGGAGCCACTCGCTGCCTTGTCTTTGAGGCCCCTTCTGGGTTTGAAGACAAAAGCAGGAGCAGGTTTTGGCCTTCCTGCAGTCATTTGAGGAAAGTTCAGAAGAGCTCAGCTGAGGAATTTGGATCCTTAAGTCTTAAGTCTTCCTGCCCTGTTCCTGAAGGTGACCGTCTCGTTTGTGTTGGAAGTAGACTCTGCAGACCCCTGTGCAATGTGGCCGACAGCAGACAGGACAGGTTTCTGCTGGACCTTTCACCAGCCCTGGTGTTACCAGCTGTGTAGGCTTCAGGATTGCTGTCCAGCAAAACTTGCTTTGCAGCTAGTGCAGGAGGCTAGCTGCCTTCCACAGCGAGGAGGGGACTACTATGGAAGGGTAATGCTGGAGAGTGACTGGAGTCTTGAGTCCACATACAGACAAGCTGTCATCTCTCTTCCTCTTGGAACTGTTCAAGCAGAAGGAGTAACCTTTAGCACCACGGTTATCCTCTCTCTTGATTCTTGAAGGGACAGGGAGGAGGCAGTGCATCTGCTCCATGGATGAGCCGGTAGGAAGCTGGTAGGATCCAGGTCCTGCCTGCTGCTGGCTCTGCAGCACCCTCTGGTGATGCTAAATCTGTCCCTTAGCTGCTGCTTTTGTTTTCTCCTTTCTGTCCATCTCTTGACTAAGGAAGCTCTGAGAAGAGGAACCACATGAACGAGTCTCCCACAGTGAAATGCTCTCATATGTATTCAGTTGCTGAATATCAAACAGTGGCTGCTTTATGTAGGCCATGGATTAAACCTGGTGTAATTCCTTTTCAAGTGTTCCCCTCCTTTACTTTCATGCTTGTGTGTGGGCTGAAACCTTCCTTTCCATCCTCTCCACCAGGTATGAGTCCCAATTTTTAATATATTTTTTTAATTTAGCTACTGTGGGATTATGAAGCTCTACCTTTTCCTTTTTTTTTTTTGGTTGGTCTCCTGTGATCAAAAAGTTCAAGAACTCTATGACCTTGCTATCTGTCCTGTCCTGACAGTTATTTTGGAGAGGGCACTTGGGTTTGAAGAGAATCCTCTTTTCGTTGTCCTGATAGCCAGGACTCAGCTGGTGACATGAGGAGGACACAGTTGTTTTCTTCTTTCCCTTGCATCAGATGGCCCTGTTTTGCCAGCACTGCATAAGCAGCATCTTGAGCTGTAGTTATTTACAGTGAAGGATGAAACTGAAAGAACTGGTTGCTCTTTGTAGTTGCACTGTTGCAAAATTTAAAAGGAATTTCATAAAAATCAAGAAAAACATCAAATTTAAATATTCTGCTGTGAGTTTTTTAGCTAATGCCTGGCTCTGCTACTTAATTCTTTCCTTGTTTGTTGTTTTCCACTGAAATGCCCTGCTCAGATGCAGATGAGGTCATCTCAATAGTCAGGTTTTGGGTTTTGCTACATATGTCCTGTTATACTGCATGTCTCCACCGAACCATTGTTCTGTCTGCATCACTAGCATTCATTTTAATTCTGTGCCTAAGCTCCTGACTTGAACTTGGCACACGCTCTGGTTGCCATGTTGCTGACCCAAATTCCGGCTGCATTAGGAGAGAGCCTTCCTTGCCAGCTTGCAGACCTCAGGCCCTGATGGACACCATCAACAGTGGCTTCTGGAACTTGTGAAAACCCGAGGGCTGCTGTGGTTCTGCCTGCAGGCAGATGCTAGGAACCTGCTCTGGTGTGCACACTGCAGTTAAATTGCAAAGATGACTATTGTAGGTTGTTTTTTAAACATGTATCGATGATCTGGATGAAGGGATTGGGTGCTCCCTCACTACGTTTGTAGATGACACTAAATTGGGTGGG